TGCTGCTTACTGGCTTGCTCCCCTGGCCCCTGCTCAGCCTGCTTTCTTATGCAACACAGGCCCACCTGCCCAGGGGTGGCACCACCCACAGTGGGCTGGGCCCTCCCACATCACTCATCAAGAAGATGCCCCTCAGACATGGCCACAGGCCAGTCCAATGGAGGCAGTTCCCGAATTGAGACTCCCTCAACCCAGGTGTGTCAAGTTGACACTAAAGCTATCCAGCACAGCAAGTGTTTTTTTTATCACAGTAATTGAAAACAGACTAGAACAGAAATTGGTTCCAGGAGTGGGTTATTGCTATGGCACCTGATCCAGTTGTTTCTGGGACGATTGTGGAAGATTTTGGAGCTTTGGACTAGAAAAGCCTTTGGGCATTTAGAACTTAGTGAGCTATTCTGTAGGAACTTGGAAAAGAATGTTGAAAGAGGTGTAGACAATGGAGGCCTGGCTTATAAAGTTTCAAGGGAAGCAAAGACTATCTGGACTGTTTGTATGATATTTTGAGCTAAAAATCTGTGGTTTCTGGTCAACTGGGGCTGAAGAAGCAGCTGTGAGTAGCAAGGAGTGACAAGAGACCAGCATCATTGAGGTAAAATCTTCTGGGAAGTATTTCCTCCAGGTTAGCACATAGAAGCTGTGGTCTAGAGGAAGCCTGAGGCTCCATCTCAAACTGGAAGCAGGACTTGGTAATGTATAAGAATCCCCCATATGGTACTGGTTTTGAAGGCATGAGGGGGTCATGGAGAGCAGATGAGGCTTGTCACTGTGAGAGGCCAGGAAAGGCCATTGGTAAAGGTGCAGCCTCTTGTTTGGTGGATACTGATGGGATCATGAAGAGAATCTGAGACTTTGCACCCTGAGAGGCCAAGAGAGGTCCTTGAAGGTAAAGCCTCAGTTGCAGATGAGACCCCTACATATTGGAAATACCAGTCATGGGACAACCACCAAGGGTAGCAGCAAGTGTGGAGTGGAACTGACCTGAGCCTATGAGACAAGCTATGTGTGCTGCAGACAGTGGAGTCAGAGAAGTGAACCTGCCCAAAGCCTTTGAAGCCCAGAAGACCATGAGTGAATCCCAGATGTCCATCCTTGAGCTATTTTGCTGGACTTTGGTTTTGCTTAAGTGTACCTGATTCTTCCCTTTTGAAATAAGACAATACTTATTTTAGATTTTACAGGACCCCACAGTTAAGACCTTGAAAAATATTTGTCATTTTTATTTTATGTGTATGAATGTTTTGCCTCATGTATGTAAGTGCACCACGTGTGTACAATGCCTTACAGAGGCCAGAAGAGGGTGTCAGGTCCACTGGAACTAAAGCTATGGATGGTTGTTAGCTGCCATGTAGGTGCTGAGAATCAAACCCAGATTCTCTGGAAGAGCAGCAAGTCTTCTTAACCACCAATCCACTTCTCCACTTAAAAGACTTTTAAAGTAGAGACTTTGAACCTTTAAAATGTTTGAATTTTTTAAGACTGGAACTTTTAAGGTTGTACTTGCTGATGTTGTAATATTACATCATATCTTGGGGATAAATGGTTTAATAGTGATGTGTTTATGTGTCAAGTTGACAAGAAGTCAATTGTGCTAGATAGCTTTAGCTGTCAACTTGACACATCTGGGAAGAGGAAACCTCAGTTGTGGAATCGCTTCCATTGCATTGGCCTGTGGCATGTCTGTGAGGCATTTTCTTGATTGTTGAGTGATGTGGGAGGGCCCAGATTGTCCTGTATTGTATAAGAAAGCAGGCTGAGCATGAGCCAGGGAAGCAAGCCAGTAAGTAGCCATCCTCCATGGTCTGTGCTCTAGGCTCCTGCTCTGAGTTCCTGCCTTGTCTCCCTATAGCCCCAGCTGACCTGAACTCACTAAGTTGACCAGGCTGGCCTTGAACTCAGAGAGATCTGCCTGCCTCTGTCTCCTGAGTGCTGGGATTAAAGGTATGCACCACCACACCTATCTAAATATAAATTTAAATTTTTTTAAATATAAATTTTAAAAAATTCTTCTCTTTAGTGACTTTTGGAATGGCCAATCCACATATGTATTACTTAAACAAGGTTATGTCATCTCTGTTTCTGGATACCTCTATACCTAATGATGAAAGAACCAACTTTAAGTCTATTCAAAGCATAACTGATTTTTGGAAGGTAAGATTATGTGTGACTGGATAAAGTAGTATTAGATAGTCCATAGCCCAAAGATTTGGGTTTAGCTCAGTGGTAGAGTACTTGCCTAGCAAGCACAGGGTCCTGCGTTTGGTCCTAGCTCTGCAGAAAAAAAAGTGGTTAGGAAATATTTGTCAAAGGAATAAGTGAAAATGAAGATAATTTCTTTGTTAGAGTCAGCCAGTAGTTAATGTTTATTGAGAGCCTATGTTCACAATGTGATCCTGTTCACTATAACTTCAAATTTTTGATATTTTTTCAAACATTCCCATTTCCTTTGGAAAATACAAGATTTGTTTCTTATGTGAGTATTAGAATCTAAAGTCAGTCTACAATTGTGTATATATAAGACTTATGTTGACAATTACTCTTAAAAATTCTGTAACTGGGGGCTAGAGAGATGGCTCAGTGGTTTAGAGCACCAGCTGCCCTTGCACAGGACCCAGGTTCGAGTCCCAGCACCCACATGGTGGCTAACAACCGTTTGTTACTCCAGTTCCAGGGAATTTGACTCCCTCTTCTGAACTCCATGGGCATTGTACCACATGACTGCACCTACCTACATGCAGGCAATACACTCATGCACAAAAAATAAAAATAATAAATAAAATTTTTTAAAATTCTTTAACAGTCCAGAAAAGATAATATTCATGATTTTTGTATTCAACCTGTGTATCATAACATAACTAAAGTATAACATAATTTTATAATGCTTTAAACTATATAGGTGAATCATTCCATCAGCACTGAAATAGTTTTAGGTTTTCCATTGCACTTAACATAGCAAATCATATTGCAAAGCAGGAATCAAGAGGGCAGCAGTTTCTGGTGCCCCAGTACCATTTGGGTGTCATGGGTGAGACCAGGAAGGCTTTCAGAAGTGATGGCAGTGCTGATGAGTTTTAAAGCACAGATAAGGGGAAAGTATCCTAAGAATAGGGAACAATGTGTGCTATGTGAAATTCTTCATGTAGAGCTGTGTTTGGCATTGAGGGCATTGAGAAGATGAAGTAGAAAAGGCCTGATTATAAATTAGATAAAGGTCACATCATGTCATGGTAGGAAACTGAAACTTACTGATGATACGTGATACGTGATCATTTTCTGAGAGCAAAAGATGTGATGCTTATTTTTATTATCAACTCAGGCAGAGAAGCAATTTAGATTAGTAACACATACCTTTGTGAGGCTATTTCCAGAGAGGATTAACTAAAGGGGAAAGACCAACCCTGAATATGGGCAGCACCATCCCACAGACTCTGGCAGGGTGGAATAAAAGGGGAGAGGAAAGCTGCTAGAGGGCAGCCATTCTCTACTTCCTGGACACCCTGATGTGAGCTGCTCTGCTCTGCCACACCCTTCCCACTAAGATGGACAGAAACTTCTGAAACCATGAACTACAATAAATCTTTCCTCCCTTAAGAGGTTTAGTCGGGCATTTTTTCACAGTGATGAGAAAATCTAATATAAAAAAGGGAGTTGTGTGACATAGGCTAAATGCATAAATCATTGGTCTGGCAGGATTCAAGGTACAGAAGTTACCCTTCCTCTTTTTTATTGTTCTACCTTGAGACACACATATGGCTAATGGCAAAGATGACAAGACACAAGGGAAAGGAATCCTGGGCTTATGATCTCGTAGAATGAGCAGGTAGGGGCCGAGTTAGAAGTAGCAATCACTGTGGCCAGAATTGGAGAGAGAAATGGGGGGAAGGGTACAAACAGCATTAGAATGAAGTCATAATGTGTGGTTATAATCAACTCTAATACTTAGAGGACAATTTTCAGCTCACTGAATAAGAAGGAGAGAAGGAAGGTTATGATTAAATGAATTAATATTCATGCTTAGAGACATGCCTAGAACATCATGAGGGTCAGTAAGTGTGGACCATCCACCACAGCCTTTATCATTACCATGAATGGTGTTTGGTCAATACTTTTCACACTCAAAATTGCATGCACAGTGTTGTGAATAAAGATTCTGTTGAAATGAAACTTTTTCCTATGGTGTTTATCTTTCTATGTGAAGTTTATGGAAGGACCCCTTTTGGAAGGCCTGTACTGGGACTCATGGTACAATAGCCAGCAGCTCTATTCGCTGAGGAACAGCAGTCGCATCTACTATGAGAACATACTTTTAGGAGTCCCCAGAGTCCGGCAGTTGAAAGTCCGCAACAATACATGCAAGGTCTACCCAGCCTTTCAGTCTTTGATGAATGAATGTTATGATAAATACACTTCTGAAAATGAAGACGTGTCTGATTTTGGCCTCAAAAGTAATACAGAGTAAGCAATCTAAAATTATACAGTAACTTTTTCTAGCAGATACCTTTGTATCTTTTAAAAATTATAAAAATATGTCTATTTTCCAAGTAGCATAGGCTGGAAACTGGTAAGTACAATATTAAATATGTATTGACAATAGAATTAAAAGAAGACAGAGATAACAGCACTTAGAAGAGTGAATATGTTTGATTTGTGGGGGATATTTTGTTATACTGTTGTTTGTTTTCCTTAGGATGTGCTTGCCTCTCTGGTATATGAAATGTATAGTCATACTGGATACAGGGCAAAATAGCATGTGAGTGTGTGTGTGTGTCTGTCTGTCTGTCTGTGTCTGTCTGTGTGTGTGTCTGTGTGTGCGTGTGTTCATGCATATACATGAATGTGAAAGCCAGAAGTCAACACTTGGTGTCTTCCTCAATCACTTTCTACCGTTTTTTCTCTTTTTGAGGCAGGGTCTCTCACTGAACCTGGAGCTCATTGATTCTGCGAGGCTGGCTAGCCAATGAGCTCCTGGGATCCAACTGTCTCCAGCCCCTGAACTCTGGAAGTACATGCCACAATGCCTGGCTTTTACATTAGGGGGAATCTATATCTGGTCCTCATGCTTGCAAGGCAAGCACTTTACCAACTGAGCCATCTTCTCAGCCCCCAAACATCTATTTTTCACTCCTACAATAGTCAATCAGCTTTTCTAATTGTGGCCGAAACCTTTGTAGGATCCTTAGGGAGAGTCTGAGGTATCCTCTGCCACTCCTCTCCCTTCTCACTGTGCCTAGCTTCAGTAATGTTGTCTGTAGCTAACAGTACTAAAAGAGGTAGTTATACTCTGCAGGCCACCCAAAGATGTCATTGCCATTGTTCTCCAGAATGGCTAAGGATGATGCTAGTGTAGACTCACCACTTCATACTGAAATGCAAAAGCCCAAGGCCACTGGCATCACCTCCTCTTTTGTTTAATATTTTTATTGATTCTTCAAGAATGTCATGTAATATATTTCGATCGTATACAGACCCCCTCCCTCAGCCTTACCCCTATCCTACTATCCTCCCTAACTTCATGTCCTCTATTATTATTTTTTAAAGGCCTATCAAGTCTAATTTTTTAATATTTTATTCATTATTTTTATGTTATGTATATGAGTGCATTGTCTGCATGTGTGTAAGTGCACCCACGTCATGCAATGCTCATGGAGGTCAGAAGGTGTCAGATCCCCTGGAACTGAAGTTATGGAAGGTTGTTAGTCACCATGTGGGTGCTAGGAATCGAACCCAGGTCCTATGTAAGAGCAATCAGTGCTCTTAACCACTGAGCCATCTCTCCAGCCCCTCAAGTCTAATTTGAGTTCCCCAAATGCCCTTGAGTGTGGGTCCATCCCCTGGAGCCTGGTCAACATACCCAGAATCACATCCTTTAAGAAAACTGACTCTCCCTCCCCTAAGAGCTTTCAGTTGTCAATAGATCCTCAGCTAGAGGATCTAGGTAGGGCTGGAGCTTCTTGACCAATTCCCCCATCCATTCTGGGTTTTCATCTGGCTTGGGCTTACACAGGTCTTATGTGTGTTGTCACAAGTGCTGTGGGTTCATATATGCAACTGCCCTATTGTGTCTGAAAAACACAGTTTCCTGATATTCATCCAGCACCTCTGGCTCTTAAATCTCTCCCTCCTCCTGAAATGATCCCTGAGTCTTGGGAGGAGAGGGTGTGATATAGGTATCCCGTTTAGGGCCATGGACTCCACAGTCTCTTATTCTGCATATCGACCAGCGTGAGCCTCTGTGTTAACTGCCATTTGCTGCAAGAAGAAGCTTCTCTGCTAAGAGTTGAGAGATGTATTAATCTATGGGAATAACAAGTCATTAGGAGTCCATTTAATACTATGTCCATTTAACAGAATATAGTGGTAGGTTCTCCCCTATAGCCTGTGACTTATCTAGTCACAATTTCTTGGTCTTGATAACAGTGCAAAGTATGGGCTCCATCTTTTGCAGCAAGCCTTAAATCCAGTCAGGAAGTGGCTGGTTACTTCCCTAACAGTAGTGCCACTATTGCAGCAGTGGGCATGTCTTGCTAGGACAATTGTTACTGCAGATTTCGGGATTCAGAGCTGGGTATGGTTGATGTTTACTTTTCTCTTTTAGTAGTATGCATAGCACCTTCCAGTACTAGGTATGCTAGTCAGTAGAGATGAAACTTTGAGGTCAGGGCCAACTTGGTTTCTCCACGTTTGTTCTGTGACTCATGAATGCAGTGTCTTCAGCAATAGTGTCTTACCATCAAGTTCTGGCAGGTAACCAAAAGTTAGTATTGTTTGAGGGTCTATGGCATGCCCCTCATCAACAAGTCCAAAACAAGGGAGTCTGTTCTTGGCATTGGGCTTTTTTTTTTTTTGCTAGCCTATGGTATCTAGTAGGGGCATTGTCCCCTGTTATAGGGTAACTCCATTTAAACTTCTTTTATACTGTATATGTATCTATTTTAAGAAGGTTCTGTAGTATTAGGTTTCCATATGAGTTTTTCAGAAGACCTTTAGTACTAGTTATTCCTCCCCTTATTCCCTCATGCCCTCCCATTTCCCACCCCATTTAGCCTCTCCTGTTCCACTGTTCCTCTTTCCCCCTTTCTAACACTGCATTCTACCTCCCCTCCAATGAATCTCTCTCCCAGGGCCCCTTACTAATTTCTTGTCCTCTATGGATTTTCCAAATGAAGCACACATATCTAAAGATTCAAAGTTAGCATCCACTTATGAGAGAGAACATGCAAGTTTTGTCTGTCTGGGTCTGGGTTACCTCACTCAGCCTGATTGCTTCCAGTTCCATCCATTTACCTGTGAATTTCATACTTTCATTTTTCTTAATAGCTGAATAGTATCCCATTGTGTAACTGTACTGCACCACCTCCTCTTGACAAAGAAGCTACTTGTGGGTGCTGTGCACACTTCGGACTGTAGGTGTCCTATGAAGATCATAGACTGGCAGTAAACATTTTCATATTTAGTATTTATTAAAATCATTCAAGCCAGGCGTGTTGGCATGCACTTTTAATCCCAGCCCTCAGGAGGCAGAGGCAGGTGGATCTCTGTGAGATCTAGGCCAGCCTGGTTCACATCATGACTTCCAGGTGGGCTGTGACTAGGGAGATCCTGTCAAAAACAATCAATAAAAAGACAAAAATAAAAAATAAAATGATTCAAGTGTTTACAAAGAGCTACCCTTTCTGCTCATAATGCCCTGTAGAAATAGTTACTCTTTGCTCTTTTTCTTTCTTTCTTTCTTTTTGGTCTTTTTGAGATAGGGTCTCCCTGTAGCCTCAGCTGGTGTGGAGCTTGATATGTAGACCAGGCTGACCTTGAACTCACAGAGCTCTGCCTGCCTCTGCCTCACAAGTGCTAGAATTAAAGGTGTGCACTACCGTGCCTGGCTACTCTTTGCTCTTTTAATTATTTCTTCTGACTTATACTTCTTGCTTTATTTTATTTTTGTCTTTTTAAGAGAGGGTCTCTCTGTAGCCCCAGCTGGCCTGGAACTCACTATGTAGACCAGGCTGGCCTCAAACTCACAGAGATTTGCCTGCCTCTACCTGCCAAGTGATGGGATTAATTGGCATGCACCACCACGCCCGACTCATATCCTTTATTTTTATTTATACATTATTTGTGTGTCTGTCTATGAGTGCCAGGGCACTGGTACCATGATATACATGTGGAGGTCAGAGGACAACCCGTGGGAGTTGATTCTTTTCTTTCACCGTGTGGGTTCCAGGAATGAAACTCAGGTCATCAGGTTTGGCATCAAGCACTTTTGGCCCCTGAGCCATCTTGCCAGCTCCTACATATTCTTTAAATACTCAAATTACCACTATGGATTCAGTTTAATTTGCCATTTTATACTTAATTGGAATTGTGAATTAATATCTGTCATTCCTCCACAATCAAAATAAATAATCTGCATTATTTTAAAAAATTACCTACTAAAATGAGTTTTTCCTGTATCATTTTAACAGTTATATAAGAAAACTCTCAAAAATGCAAAATGAGGGCATGGTGGCACGTGCCTTTGATCTCAGCACTTGGGAGGCAAAGGAAGGTCTCTGTGTGTTCAAGGCCAGCCTGGTCTACATAGAGAGTTTCAGGCCAGCTGCAGCTATAGGGAAATGCTATCTCAAAAAGACACACACAAAAAAAAGCAATATAAACATCATTAAAATGCAAGAACTTTTCCTAGTAAGGTCAGCTTTCACCTTCCTACTGGAAGGATATTATTAGAAGCACAAATCTAAGCCAGATGACCTTTCAAAAATGTTTTGGGAAAAATGAATAAAGAGTCTGAAATGAGGAATCAAGGCTTTCTTCTTTTGGTTTTCTTGTAATTATATAAATTAAAAGCCAGAAGGACAGAGAAATAAAAATTATATATATAATGTATTTTTTTTAGTTATATATATTTTTTGAAAACAGTTTTAAATTACATTTATTGTGTGTGAGACAGAGACAGAGACAGAGAGAGAAAGGAGAGAGAGAGACTGTGTGCACATATATGTACTTACATGCAGAGGTCAGAGAACAATTTGTGGGAACTGGTTTTCTCCTTCCACCCTGCAGGTTCCAGTCAATGAATTCAGGTCACCAGTCTTGGGGACATGTCCCGACCCGCAGGACAGTCAACGTGGGTTTCTGGAGGGAGGAGAGGGGACGGAAAGGGACAAGGGATGCGAAGAATGGAGACAAGACAGGCTTTCTGATCAAGTCTCATTTAATGAACATTCACACAAAGTTTTTATAGGGAGGAGAGGGGGAAGTTGGCAGAGAAAATTCCATTGAAGTAGAGCAATTCAATTAACAGAATGAATATCACAATGACACCACACCAATTGATCACAGAGTAAATTCCATAGTAACA